CTCCTTGCAATTCCATCGTTTCGAGTACAAATAAGTGTCTGCGGCTGCATCTGTCTGTCTGTCTGTCTCTCTCTCTCTCTCTCTCTCTCTCTCTCTCTCTCTCTATATATATATATATATATATATATATATATATATATATATATCTCGCACGCTGAAGGCGCTTGCGCGTGTGGTTTGAGCGAACTGAAATGGTTGTTAGTGTCAATCCCCGCTCAGGTACTCCAACTCATACCCAATCATTTCTCTCCCCCCTCTTTTTCGATTTACCGGCTGTTGGACTTGGAACTCGCGCTCTTACTCGATCGAATTTCTTCGGGCTACACACCCGAGAAGCGCAATACCCAAGGTACAGGCCGATATCACATCGCTTTTTCGACTTTAGGTTTGACGTCATAATTCGCATCGATCGTAGGTCGACTGGCAAGAATGTTTATACCGAATCGAATAATTCTAATTGGATGGGACACGAGTCTGCGCAAATGAACATGAAAGACACTTAGCCAGCCTTTCGCATTGGATTTTCAATGCGAGCGAAAGACTGCTTTATGCCAGTCCTTGCATCACGTTTTTCATGCGATCACTTTATCGGGAGCACTTTTAATCGATTCGATATAAAAAATTAAATATCTCCTTTTGCTCAATGCGGAGCTTTACGATGAAATAACATCGAAGGACTCTCGTGGCTTTATATTACATGTTTGACGTTCACCATACGCTCTTTATATACATGCTCGTTTGAATAGCATAAAAGCACACAAGCACACAAGCACACAAGCAGACATACTCGCTATCAAATGTTTCATCTATATCATGTCTCATCAATAATAATTTCAATATAATGCAACGAAGTCCATAAGTACATAAATACTTATATTCTATTAAATGAAAACATTAACGCATTTTTTCGATAACTACTCGTTTGATAAGACTAATCGTGCTTCGCGTGATGATTCTCTATTTTTCAAGATGTTTTAAGATGTTTAAAATGTCGGTGCTTGAATGTCCGGGTTAACAAAGACGATCGTTATCATTCGGAATACAATTATCCTCCGTTCCTGTGCCATACGGACTAACAATGCCTCGACAATTCCTGAATGTGCGGTCCATTGCCAATTCATAATTAAGTTATGGTTTTTGGGGCTCGTGCACACCGCACTGTACCTGTGCATACGTGTGCCTTAATTGCAGTGCATTCGGTTCGATCGTGCACGGGGCAACGTATATACACACCTATATCCGCGCATATCATAAGAGCACAAATGCGATTTAATGATATAATTAAGCATGAGTCGGAGTAGGTCCGCATATATATGTATACATAAATGTGTAATGGGCGCTAAGAAGACACTATCGTACTTTAGGAGTTCTCGCTAGTAGTTTTTCGCTCGTTAATTTTCGCGATAACGGTAACAGCTCCTCGGTCGCTTGGTTTGGACTAGGGCGCGAGTGAAACGGGGTATCGCATTTTCACAGCCTTTATGATGATAACATAAAAGAACCGAAGTATTTTGTCGATTTGGTGTGCGTAGGATGCGAAATCTAGTCACAGTGTCACATCAATATACAAATCGCTAATGAGTCAGCGCAATTGTGCTTGCGTTGTTAACCTTAACATTCGCGTGCGTGCGCTCCCACCGAAGCGAGCCTATTGTTACTAAATATTCTTTCCTATTAGCCAGCGGATTCCACGAAGTTCACGGATAATCATGCCTTATAATAACGTCGTGTATCGCCTCGATTCTTCGACCGCGAACGTTTCTTGCATTGGCGACGACTCTGCGCATGCGTAAGCGCAGAAACCGAGTCCGCCACCGAGTGCGATTCCGCATGCCGTAACCCAATATATTCGTTTATCACGCATCGTCGGTGGCGGCGACGCGGCGTCGGCATCGCGTAACCAGCTTTGAATAGGGATGTCGACCCTTCTGCATAATGCGAAGGAAGGGCGGGGCGGAGGGTTGGACGGACATCGATCTCCCTCCTCTCCCCCCTAACCTCCCGCGGTCCCCTCCTGCCCCGCAGCACTCCCTCCTCCCCCGTTCGTACAGGCTGTTCGTCTTCCTCCTACTTTTTATATGCAGCCTTTACGATAAGATCATGGTGAGCACGGGAGGCGATGCGCTCCGTTACCGTCAGGTGTCCCTTCTTTTCCTCGAGCGCTCCTTCTTGCCCTTAGGCAACTCTCCGATTGACATACATATTTCGTTGAATTCGTCCACGAGTCGCCCGCCTCGTTCCAAATGGCATCCTACCCACTTTTCCTTCAGCGATTTGGGGCGGTGCAGCGAGGAGCCCCACATGCGTGATAAACTGCTGCCATAAGGCGAATATGTTAATATGTCGTAACGCGTTATGAAGGACCTCGAGTATTGCAAGTGCCTTTGACTAAGCGGCGCTGAGCCCAGAAACGGGAACTATATAGATTAGAATAGAAATAATTTGCGGAAATGAGCTTGTCGTTTTGAAAGAACTTTTGCAAAGCCTCCAGTATTACGTTACATGCAAGAAAAATCATTTCACTTGGCCAGATAACGCGGTTACATTGACGGCCATAACTCGTGAAGCTTTCCAATTGTCTAATGATTAACTAAGGAAGTGCGCTTAATAACTTTCTCTTTCGATTAATTATTATTGATTTTATCTACTTCTTGCTGGGCGATGTCATGCGATTGCTCGCTATTCAATTAGACATCGTGGTCATAATTTTGATATATTTGATGATCATTGCCGATAAATATCATTTCAAGCACTAACAAATATTTTAAAATAATCAATTTCAATATAATGCATCTGCAATTGATTATTGCTCTTATAAACAAACTAATAATTAAAAGTAATTAATTCAAAGTTGTACCAAAAATATTAATGATTAGAGTGTCTTATAATATCTAATGATTGTAATGAAAACAAAGTACTAAGAGATGAGACTTTGCATCTTCTTACGGAATCCAATTTCATAAAATTTCATAATAAACCATTGCGAGTAGTCACTCAAACCATGAAAAACATGCTATTTCTCTCTCTCTCTCTCTCTCTCTCTCTCTCTCCCTCTCTCTCTCTCTCTCTCTCTCTCCCTCTACCTCTCCCTCTCTCTCTCTATCTCATCTTTCAAAGATAGTGAGAGAGAAGTTGATACATAATAGTAAATGACAATAGCTGGCGAATTATTTATGTGTACCAACCTTTGTAACCTTGGGGAAAACGTGTTGGTATGCGTGCGCTTATGTGCACGGATGCGTACATACGCGTGTCTGTCAATGGGGCCCGGATCATCTCTTTTACTCTCTCTCTCTCTCTCTCTCTCTCTCTCTCTCTCTTTCTCTCTCATTACTTCTTCGAGCAGCTGCGCGAAAAGTTAGATGGAAGCTTGGAACAGTTATGGACTTTGGCCGTTGTTATTTTGTGGCAATATGAAACCTTGCATGTAACGATCCGGCGGGCCGATATAGTGAGGACGATAGAGAATAGGGGAAAAAAAAGGAAAAAATAGGAAAAGCCCCGGAGAGTGAAAGGAGCGTTAGCATAATAATAAAGGAGAAAGAGGAAGGTAATCGTTGGGTCGCGAGAATCGCGATCTACTTGGCTCTTTCGAATTCAAAGAGCATGAGGCGTGCCCAGGGTCATACATTTCTCTCCCCTCTCTCACACTCGGCGCGATTTCCCTTGACGCGTGCGTGCTCAACCCCGCACACCCCTTTCCACTGTGCGTTTGACATTGCTTCAACCCATGGCATTGCAGAAAGTTACAGCATGAAGGAGTGAGAAATTTAGAGAGAGAGCGAGGGGGGGCGACGAAACGGGGGGGGGGGGGGGGAAGGCAGTTCGAAATGGGGCTCCACATTGAGACGCAAAATTAGTTCCCTTGCCCTTTATAGCCCTTCCACTAGGCGACCCCTTTATATCCGAACGAACCACGCGGCCCTTTTCTGCTCTCCATTCATTCTCATTTTTTTCGCGAAAGGGCAGGATCGGTCCCTTCGAGGCATTATTATTATTGCGCTCTACGGACACGTGGCATGTATATAGATATATGCTTTTGCTGTACGCACGCGTGTCGTATTAGCAAAGCGAGCGTTAGTTAAAATGGGATATTTTCATGATGGAAAGTTGCCGAAGCTCCTTCGTTATGTATGCAGATTTTCATTTTAACAAGCATAAATCTAACACGGAAAAAGGAAATTAACAATATTTTCATATAGCCTTTTAATCAATCAATGCGTATGTCACTTATATAATATTAACAAGTACGTCCATTATTTATTGTCAGAAAATTTTTTAATTTATTTTGTGGGCAAGTTGAATACATACATACATATACATATATATATATATATATATATATATATATATATATATATATATATATATATATAAAATTCTGTGTATGTGGAATAGCACAAAGAGAATCGGAAACAAGAGAGGAGTAAGTTTAGTATAGTGTCTTGGTAAGTTAAGAATTGCGAGGTGATAAAGTTCCCATGGGAATCAACGTATAAAGGAAGAGTAAAAGAAGCCTTACTTACCTTAAAAGCACCGCTTTTAGTCACGATCGACTGACTCTCCTCGTTAAAGCAAATTCCAAACCACATTGTAACTTACGTTTACGTTTGTTGGTGCCCAAGTATTCCCTCAGTCTTTTACAAAGTCGTATTTAAGCATACAATTAAGCGCATTTCGCAATGTCTTAAATAATTTGGACACTCATTGCATCTTATTCGCGTGTGCTTATTAATTATCTTAAATTTATTCTATAATTTTTAATGTTAAATTTTAAAGTCTATCTTTTCAATGCATTCTTATTGAACGAACAAATTAAATAATAATAAATAGCCAATTTAACATTTATTGCTATTTTATATTCATCAACATTATTGTACGTATATATATATATATATATTACCTATAACTATAAATAATCTTCCTCCAGACTTAAAATGCTCGAAAAAAGAAAAATAAATAAATCAATTAAATACACGATGCCTAAATTCGCCGCCTAAACATTGTGCTTCTGTTTTTTGTTACAGACTAAGAAGAACAATCCCAATCACATAAAACGACCGATGAATGCATTTATGGTCTGGTCGCAAATAGAACGCAGGAAAATATGCGAAGTCCAGCCGGATATGCACAATGCCGAGATAAGCAAGAGGCTCGGCAGGCGCTGGAAAACTCTGGACGAGGCTGAGCGTAGACCCTTTATTGAAGAAGCCGAAAGACTTCGTCAGCTACATATGATGGAATATCCCGATTATAAGTATAGACCACGAAAGAAGACGAGCAAGCCGATACCTACTCCAAAAGCCAAGGAGCTGAAGAAAAGCAAGAAGTCTTCGTCTTCATCCACGAGCTCAACCTCCTCGGCGTCATCGTTGTCGTCGTCCTCGCCAGCCCCGTCTTCCGTCACCACGAGTCCGAGTCCCGCGTCTTCGCCCAAGATTCGCAACGATACGAACAACAATCAGCAGAGCCCATTAAAGAGGCTCCAATCGACTCCGACCACGAATCCCGTCTCGAGGCTCAAAGTTCGACTGGCTCTGGATAAGAGGCCAACGGCAAGCGATTATACACCTACACCGCCGATTGCCTCTGCAAAGGTACCCAGTAGCCCGTCCTGTGACACTCCAGACTCGCCCGAGTCAGCCAGCTTCTACGACGATCACTTCATCGATTGTCAAACTCAAATTGCCAGCGCTATGCAACAACAACACCAGCAGCACCAACAGCAGCAGCAACAGCAACAGCAACAACAACAGCAACAGCAACAGCAACAGCAACAGCAGCAGCAGCAACAGCAGCAGCCTAAACTCATCAAACAGGAAGCAATGGATTTTGGTACGACAGATTTTACGAACGACAGGCTCCTGTCATCGGTCAGATCGTATGCGTCGCCCGATCTCAGTAGTCTCGCCAGAAACTTCCAGAGGAACGCTTGCCACCCTAATGACGTCTTTATCAAGGAAGAACCCGTGGATATATCAGCCTCGGTCACCACTTCCACGTCGGCCATCAAAATGGAAGAGCCGACGAACCCGAGTCTCGCTGATCTTGACTCCATGGCGTTGACGGATCTCTTGCAAATACAACCTTCTGACTTCAAACTCGATCTCGACATGGAAACGATTGCTACGGATCTCGAGAACTTTGAAAGATCCGCTGGTACTGGCAGTGCAACGCACTTTGAATTCACTTGCAATCCCGACGTCACAGACATGTTTTCTGACATCGGCGTAAATAACGAATGGGGCGGCTTCTGAGACGAGCTGGACGCCGAAGGGCTAGAGGGGCAAGTCGAGAGCACTGCATCCTCGCCCTTCGATGCGAAGGTCCTACTGGTGACTCCGCCTTTGAGGATTAAAAAAATTTGTAGGAAGAAGAGAAGGAAGAAGAAGAGGAGAAGGAAGAAGAGATCAAGGCACGTCACTGCTTGCTTGACCTCGGAAGTTTTGTAATTAGTGTTACTATCCAAACTGTCTGGTTTCTCCAAGTCCTCATCTTTAGGCTTGCAATTTTTTAGAGAATCTAATAAGGATTAAGTAAGAGTGAGAGAAGGAGGGAGAGAGAGAGAGAGAGAGAGAGAGAGAGAGAGAGAGAGGGAGAGAGAGAGAGAAGGAAAAAGAAAAACGGCTTGGCCAGAGCCGATATTCATACGTTGTGTTCATTAATAAGAAAACCAAGTGATCTCTGTATGTCTAATGATTGTATCTCGGGTATATATTGTGGACAATCGACGAGACTTTTAATGATAACGTTTTATGATAACGTTTCATCTTTTTGGACATTTCGGTAGTATCAAATTGCGAATAAAAAAAAAAAATATTAAAATGACAGAAAATTGAAAAAATTGTCGTATGTGTATTATAAGCGCGCACATTTTTACTTCCCCTCGCTAAAATAAAATAAAAAAAAACAAAAGAAAAAAAAACAAAAATTATAAATTGAAAAAAAATTACTGAAAAAACGGAATATAACAACAATAACAGAAGCAGCCTCAGCAACAGTAGGAGTAGCAGTGACGATGGCGATGGCCAATTTAAAGGGACGCGAATGAAATTCTCGCTATTTTGTTTCTAATGCAAGACCGGAAGTACGGGCCACTCGAGTGGAATCGCAGCTGTTTCCAGTATTTTCGCCAACTCATTCAACCTAGCAACGGCTCTATCCGTGGAGAGCTTCTGCTTTCTCCCTTCTACACGTGGCGTAATATGGTCGCTCATCCACTAATCTCGGTTTGCTCGCGTTATTTTTCATAGACGCAGCAGCAACAGCGGTGTTAGCATTCGTGAACACCTTTTGTTCGTCCATTGTGAATGTTTGCGAATGGCGTATGCTTTCCGAGCTTCCCAGAAGGTCGTATTTTGTGGCTCAACTTCGTGCGCTACTACTCTTTCTTGTTCTATTGATCGAGGATACGAAATGTTCTGAGTCGGAAGAATCGTGACGTTCCGCTAAGCTTGGGGCGAGAGGGAGAGAGACTTGTCTCGCTCGGTGTGCAGGTACGACTTGTAACGTGTGTAATATATGCCAATATCCTCCTCGACGTCATTGTCACGCGCGTATGAATCAACATTTCTTACATTTTTCTCTTCGTTTTTGTTTTTATATTTTTATTAAAAAGTTCGCTTTGGTGTAAGATTCGTTTAATTTTACGTAGGCGCTGCGAATAAAGTAAGAAAAGACGATAATTGAGTTAAACGAGACTTACGCTTGCCGTAAGTGGCTGTACGATACACTTATTTACGCCAATACAAAGTATAAGCAAGGAAAAGCCGTTTTTTTTTTTGTTTTTTTTTTGTATATGTACTGTAGCATATTAGAAGCTTAAGGACTTTTGTACGAAGCACGAACGTGAACATGCTGACTTGCGATCGCGATCGGATTGCCGCGGACATTAATTTTCCCGTCTTCAAACTGTTCGACCAGCTCACGAAGTCTGAATCCAGAGAGGGGAAGTTCAAGTTAATCTTTTCAAATATCCCTATCTCTCCCAGTCGAAAGGAGACTTTACTTTCTTCCTCAACATTCATCGTCATTCGCGAGCTCGTCGCATTCGATTAATCATGTAACGCCGTCCGATCGCGCACGCTGCTCGGCCGATCTTCACGCCCCCTCCCCTCCCCATTGTGTATATCAATTATAAATAAATATTTAGTAATATATTAAATCCTTGTAGCATACAAGATAATAAAAAGAACATCCAACGATCCGCAGTTGGTATAAAAAATATCCTAATGTCGTAAGAGAGTTTTGAGCGAAGTGTCCGAGGCGGCGCATGTATTTTTTTGTCCGTGCGCATAAAGGAGCCGACCGGCGTCATTTGGTCATCGCTCGCGATTCTCGATCTTCGACTGTTAGCTTCTTTCATCATTATGTGGATTTTGCACGCTCTTAGTTTTTATGTCTCCACATCGTATCGAAGCAATGATTTTTCTTTCGTCGGGTTCTTTTACAAAAAAAAAAACAAAAACAAAAAACAAAAAAAAAACAAAAAAAAGTTCTTATTTATTTATCCTTTATGTATTAAATTGAAAGCATTGAAAGCAAAAAATTATTAAAATAAAGGATACGACGTAAGATCGTTGATTCGACGATCAGACCGGATCGAGAATGGCGCACGTATGTGATAATAAGGCCGACGTTAAACGATCGGAATGCGCGATGACTGGCGATTCCGATGGCTTAGCGTGTAACGTCGCTCGGTTCTTTTCCTCTTCAAAAAGTCATATGCACACAACAGATGAACATTATTAACACATATACACACCGACATACAAATGTATATTGATGCATTAGAGACAGGAAAAGGAAAGCAAATATTGGCGCAGAAACGCGGATTACGCACATCGACGAGACACACTGATACGAATACCTATGCTTTTTAATTTTTGTCACACATAAACGCGATAATTTTATACATCCGCACTCGAGAGAAACGCAACTTTTATGGGAAAAGGTGCGTCCGTCGAGGCGGAACAAGGGCCAGAAGGAAGAATTAATAAGCGATACAATATTAAGAATAATGTTTGAAAAAAGTTAAGAATAATGAATATTATGCTATTAATAATAATAATTGTATTATTATGGCTAAGAGAGCATTGTGGCATAGCGATATCTTACTATATGCCTATAACGAAAAAATATGTCATAAGATCATAACGCTACACAAAACTTACTATTTTTGTTTTTGTCCTCGATCATATATATATATAAATATATATGAGCGGCACCAAAGTAGAAGCCGTGTATATCTATGTAGTTGTGAGTATAAGTGAAAATTAAAAAAAAACAATACTTCGAAAGATTACACTACACTAAAATTTGAAATACAATTACAGTCATACTTATACATGTTTGCGCGACGCATATACATACATTGTAACCCGCGCGCCTACACAATCACGTGCACTCGTGCACGCGAAGGCACAAACACACACACGCACACGCGCGCGCGCGCACACACACACACACACACACACACACGATATTACTGGAGAAAAGAGAGAGCGTGTCCGGATTTTTATTAGGGCTGAATAGACGCGGGCCAAGCGTATATTGCCCCACTTTCGCCTTTATGAACTATCAATATCAAACCTTGATCTCATGTTTCTTTTTATTACATTTACTATAATTATTAATGATTGTCGACTTATTGTCGATGTAATTAACGCAATCTATTATCTTTTTTTTAATACCAGCAATTCCACTACCATATTTTCTTTTCTTTCTTCTTAATTTCTATGAAATCGTATTTTTATTTCCTTCTTAAATTTTCATATCTCGCTGAGCAACAGAGAGAGAGAGAGAGAGAGAGAGAGAGAGAGAGAGAGAGAGAGAGAGAGAGAAAATAAAACAAGAAATTTAACAATAACAAAATAGATGCGCACGCGTAAAGTTTTTTTCAGCGAATTTTGAATCCAAGGGGGAGGACGAAGTTGAAGGGAGTTTGATTTGTGGAGAGGAGAATTGAGAAAAGCAAACTCCTACGCATGATTAAGTTTGCCCTTGCGTTCTGTTGTCGGTTTGTCAACCGTTCTTACAGGACTCGGGGATTATGCGAAATGAAGGGAGGCATAATGGAGGGAGGGAGAAAGAAAGAATGTGCGTATGTGTATATGAGAACGAAACGAGTGTGTTGGAGAGCGAAAGATAGATTCAGAAGAAGAGAGAAAACGAATGTATGAGAGAATGAGCGCAATGAATAAAAGGGACATAATAAACAAAATATAATGAAAGAAACAAAAAATAGTGCCTACCACCTCCAATCTTTGAAGGAAAGAAAACCATTGTACAAAATTTAATACAGGGCCCATACAAATAAAAAAGAAGACAAAATAAAGATATGTTAGACTTCTATTTACATGCAAAATGCTACAAATTAATTATTGATTACATTGAAAAAGCAACTGTGTTAAGAAAAAAATTCATTGTTCTCGGTAAAGTTAAAAAAAGTATATTAAATAAAGAGAAAGAAAGATACGGAAAAAAGAGCGTGAGTAAATGAGGCAGAATGAGCGAGTATGCGAATATGCGAGTGAAGAAGAATGAGGAGAGAGAGAGTGAGAGAGAGAGTGAGAGAGAGAGAGAGAGAGAGAGAGTGAGAGGTAGAGCCAAGACTATTAAAAAATCGGAAGAATGAGCCGAGCGAATGAAAAGGATGTCGAATTTGAACAAGAGATTTTGAAGCTTAAACTAAAAATGACACAAGATACGTTTTCTCTGCAAAAATATAGAATTTGAAAAAAGGAAATAATAACCAGACATATATAGGAAATCACTACAATATAAAACAGGCTGTGAAATATCTCTGAAAAAAGGAGAAAAGTAAATCAGGTGGAAGGTTGGATAAGGAGATGCTCGGAGGCGGTGATGAATGTGAGTTTGCTCGGGGGTGTGTTTTTTAACGGAAATGAGAAAGAGAGAGAGAGAGAGAGAGAGAGAGAGAGAGAGCAGGAGTGTGATAGACAGAGGGGGCGATAGAACAGAACTGCCAGTTTTTCAGCCAGAGTCAAATAGTCAATTTTTCAACCAGTTATTTAATTTATGTTCAAGATCACACGTGTACATTCATCGTTACAGATTGTTACAACATATCAGATTGTAATCGTTACTCTATTGCAAGCCAATCGCTGAGATTATCATCTTCTTTTCATTGCTACTGTACTTACTGTTTTAACTCGAAGTATAAGAAAATTATGTGCGTCGGTAAGAATGGATATAAGGAGGAAAAATTCGCAGATTTGCCGAAGATCCTGATATACCAAATATTAAAAAAAAAAAGAAAAAAAAGAAAAACAAAAAAAAAAAGAAAGGAAGGAAGGAAAGAAGGAATCAAGGAATGGAGAAAGTACTTTGGGAATGGCCAGTAGCTTATCGTTCGAGCATTTACAACATAGATTTTTGTGGAAGGTATAAGTGCGCGCGCTAAAGAAGGTGAGGAAAAAAAGAGGAAGGAGTTTTCTGTTCACGCAATGAAAGCTTGTAGTTTATCGTTTTTGATGGGAATTTATACACGTCGGGATAAGCTGGAAGGGGGAGGGTTGGGAGAGGGAAATTGAGCAAGTTTTGGGATAATAGAGTAAAAAAAAAAAAAAAAAAAGAAGAAGAAACGAGGTAACTTTTTGCACACGTCTGGTTGAACGCCTCGCATCAGGGGCGCGAGATTCGCTCAGGAACGTTAGGCGGGTGAGGCTGTGGAAGGAGGAAGAGGAGGAGGAGGAGGAGGAGTTTATCGTTCGCAAAATTGAAAGTCTCGAGTTTGCGTTTACTGGGCGATGAAGTTCGCTCCGGCAGCGCTTGTTTTTTTCGCAGACATACGCATGGCGAACGATCGATCAGCTTTACCATATGAGATCTTGATATTGGGAACGGAGATCGAAGAAGAGTTTTCTTTACGAAGGCGGAGCAAAAAAATGGGGGAATGTTAGGTCGTTATGAAATAATAAGAGGAATAAAATAAAATTTTGAGGTTAAGAATATAAGTGTTATAGTTATTGACGCGCGCGTCGTCCTTTTATCGTCGCAAATATTTAATAAATGACAAATCGTGGAAGAAAATTTAATATTAAATAACTTTTGTTCGTGGCTTGATCGTATTTGTGAAAGTGATTATATTTGCGCAGATTTATGATGTTTTTTTGAATTATAAAATAAAACAATAAAATATATGCATAACCGTATATAGTATTCGTGTAAACGTAAATATATAAAAGAAAGAAAAGGTGGAACCTAAAATTACGAAAAATTTTGATGAGCTGACGGTGGTTTTTTCTTGTGAAAGAGATACTTTAGCTGGATGATGAATTTTTTAAATAATATGATTATGAAATCAATAATTAAAAAATGAATGTTGTTAAAAAATAAAATATAAATATATATATATATATATATATATATATATATATATATATATATATATATATATATATATATATATATATATATATTTTTTGATAAATTTTCATGATATAAAGCGGCTGGCTGCAGAGGAAAGGCTGCGGAAAACCCAACGCTTCGTCCACTTGTTACCCGGGATAAAAGTTTTTTAAGAAATAAAAAAAATCAATAAAAAAGAGTAAAAAAAAAGTGAATAAATTTTATCGTAAAAAATATTTATTATCCTAGATGTAATAAGTTATATCGATTGTATTTAATAAAAGAAAGGGGGAAAACTAATAAATAGATGAGAATCCTAACGAATGGAAAAGACAAGGAATGAAAAGAGAAATTCGGTGAGCCTCAACCTCCGTTTTCCTTTCTCTGCTACCGTCGAATTATGTCTTCTTTTATGGCGGATGCTCGCGGTAGATTGTAGGGGATCACGAGATCATTACTTCGATTGTTGCGTCTTATTTTCAAAGCGTTAATAAAATCTAGGTCAACTTAGGTTGCGTAGTGAGACTGTAATAGTGCCCCGATAATTTGAACTGTCACGGGTCTCGATAATCTACTGGATGCACTCTCGTGTTACGATTAGGATTTTCCAATTTTTAAAGACATAAGGTTGAAAAAAGTATATACATACATACACGCGCGCACACTCGCGCACACACACACACACACACACACACACACATATATATATATATATATATATATATATATATATATATGATAAAACAGATAAATAGATGTGTAGTAGTTTTTAACAAATTTTTAGCATTGTATATATGTC